CAAAGGGTAAATGATAATCTAACTTATTTCTGATGTGGAGGATCCATCTTTGTGTAACAGCCATAAAGCATACAATAAGTAGATACACGCACCCTAAACCAGGCTCTAATACCACTTGTTGGGACAAACTCGGGGCCCAATAGAGTAAGGTCTCAGCGAATAGTAGAGTGTAAATAATAAAAAGAACACACAGATTTATGTGGAAAACCCCTAAATGAATTTGGGAAAAAAACCACGGACAATGATAGAAGAATCCAGTATAAGGAAAAATTTTGGAGTTATAATCTCTCTTTTTAAGGAGAAACTCTCTCTATTTTTTCTCTCTCACTCTTCTATATATATGGAGATTGGTTTTTGTTGTTGTGATTTTGTATTTCTGATCATCTCTATTTATAGGCAGGTGAAATCACTGTGTACTAATTTTATATTATTATGTTTAATATTTTCAAACTCTGCCTAACTCACAAAAGGGACGATGCCTAACAATTAGGCTGATGTCTCTTTCAACAGTTAGGTGCGGTTTGACGAAAACAGTTAGAACCGACCATTTATTACATGATTAACCATCTAATGGATGGTTCTGATTTGTCTTAAAAGAAAGTGAATATGAGCAGATATCACTGTTGGGACGGACGGCGGCGCCGAGGAACCAAAACAAACGCTGATCAAAGAAGGCCAAACTCAACCAAATATCAATGCACAAACACAAATACCAATTTTAACGTGGTTCGGCAATTGCCTACATCCACGGGGCAAGAAGGGGGTGAGTTTTCACTAATAGAGAAGGAGAGTACAAATTGAGATTACAAATCGCTCAAACGAACCAACTAATCTCACCAACAAATCTCTCAATCTCTCAACTAATAACCCTAACCAATAGCTCAGAAAGATCTCTCTTTTCTGTGCTCCAAAATCCCCAAATATGCTCCTACAAAACCCTCAAATCGTATTGGTATTTATACCAAAACAGAAACCCAAACAGACTGCAAATAGGAACCTAAACTTTCCAAAAAATCCGTCGTAAGTCGACTTATCAGTCTGCATAAGTCGACTTGGCAGAGCGAAAAATGACAACTAGAGAAGAGTTCATAAGTCGACTTAACAGGTATGATAAGTCGACTTGCCAGAGCCCAAAATCAACAATCCACATCAGATCGTAAGTCGACTTACGACACAACATAAGTCGACTTACCATAAGTCGACTTATGCCTGTGCATGAGTCGACTTATGGCCAAAAAACTGCTTTTTCCAAGTTCTTCTCCACAATTCTCCACCTCGGCGAAGTTTTCCCAAAACTGAGCCGACACCAACCAAACAAATGCCTCACATGTTGAGACCCAAGTGGGAGTGCGAACACTCACCCCAAATGTCAATGTCGCTCACCAAATCGGCTGCATCATAAAGACTGCCTACGTATCCTCTTGTCCAAGGAATCAAGCCTTCACGTAGTTCACCCAAACGGCCTCCAAAGGCCCTCAAACAAATAGAAAAGTATGCAACTCTTCCCCAATATCACCGACGGATCTGCAACTGATAGCGGCCCCAAACTGATACAAATCAAACACCTCCATCATGTCCACCAGCTGCAATCGAATCCAAAAACAATCCATCATCTGCATCCGAAATCAAATGATCCCCAACCTGTGTCACCTCAGCTGGAATCCCAAATGACGCAGTATGATCTGGAGTACGTGGAGTAATCTCCACCCAACGTGGAGTAGCACCACTCTCCACCTGCTGCGATATCCAAAAGACCTGATCAACACTCTCTACCTGTCGAGAGTCAAAAGTGACATACCTGCTCAGAACAAAATCAGAAGCTCCCAAACGATAATCAACTGAGCCTCCGAACCCCAAACACGCAATCGGATCAAATCTCACATCCTTGATGTGACCAAATGCTGGGTATCCAAATATCCGACGCGACCCAAAATCTGAAGCAGCTCCACCAGATCTAATAACTCCTAAAGCAGCAGTCGGCGACCTATGCATAAGATGACCCAAATATGTCGAAGCCCGCACACCAATGCCAATGCTCGACATCAAACGCCGATCCTCCTCCAGAAAGGAACGACCCATCGAAACTGTCATCTCATCTCGTCGCCCCAAAGTCTCCACACCAATGAAGTGTCTCCTATTGCCGTGAGCTCGGCACCAACGCAAGAAAGGACCCCTACCAAAGCTGAAACAATGAGTTACCTTTCTGCCAATACACTTCTTCCAATTGTTGTTGACTTCTAGGACTTTACACTAACGGGAACTGGTCGCGACCCAATAATGCCTAGAACAATCATCAACTGTGAAAACTAAGATACGATTACCTCCCAATGATGCCTCCTTGGAAGGCCCCCAAATGCCTAACTGAGCACCTCCTAAAAGACCCCTCGCTTGATGGATAGGAGTGCCAAACTCCACCACGGTCTTGCTCATCCCAATGTGCTCACAGGACTTCAATCTGCAGGTCATAGCACTCCTCAACAACCAATGCACGGCATTACCAATCATATACCCCAGCACCAAACAATGCCACAGTCTAGCCGAATCTGATGAAGTCGTCATCTCCCTATCAATCACCGTGCTCCCAAGCAAATAGTACAAATTGCTCCTTCTGACGCCCTTCATCACAATCATGGACCCAAATGTAACCTTCAAGCGTGCATCCGCCAAGGTAACCCTATAGCCTGCTACCTCCAAAGCTCCAAGTGAAATGATGTTCTTCTTCAACTAAGGAACGAACCTCACTCCAACCAACTCCCGAATCACCCTGTCACTCATCCTGATTCGAACGGTACCGATACAACCAATAGAGCATTTGTGATCATTCCCCATGAGCACGAAATCCCCTCTTTCCAACTTCTGAAAGCTGGAGAACCAATCCCTCCTAGGGCAAATGTGGTATGTAGCCCCCGAATCCAACATCCACTCTGTAGAGTAGACAACACAAACTGACGGCAGTGCAGATAACGAGTAGCCCGAAGAATCCGAATCTGAATCGTTGCCACTAGCCTTGACAACATTCGCCTCTGAAGCTTGAATAGCTTTTCCCTTATTCTTCCCGGCTCGATCAACTAACTTTGGGCAATCGGCTTTCCAATGTCCATCTTCTTTGCAAAAGGCACATTGATTCTTACGAACTCCAAGATGTGCCCCTCTAGACTGCGACCTCCCACTACGGTTTGGACCCTTTGCTCTTGCGACCAACGCCCCCGCTACCGGCTCAATCGAAGTCTTCTTATCCTTCTTTCGAAGCTGATAATTCACAAGTACAGCGGTGACCTCACTATACGAAAGAGATGCCTTCTCATTAATAAGAGTAAGAACGAAGGTCTCATATTCCTCGTCGGGCAAGGAACTCAACAACAACAACGCCTTATCCTCATCTTCAATCACCACATCTACATTCGTCAAATCCGCAAGAAGCTTCGTGTAGTGGTTCATGTGATCACCAATGGAGGTTCCTTTCTTCAACTGGAAGCGGTAAAGCCTCCTCTTCAAATGCAAGTGATTCTCCACACTCTTGGTCAAATACTTGCTCTCAAGGATCTCCCAAATCTTCTTTGCAGAAGTCTCATTGATCACATCATACTTTAGATCTTGAGTGAGACAAGACCTAATCACACCACACGCCGTTCTATTCATCTTTTTCCAAACCTTCTCATCAATGTTGTCCGGTTTCCCGTCCAATTCCAATGTATCTTCCAAATTTTGCGCGTTGAGCGCATCCATGACTTCGCATCGCCAAAGTCCAAAATTGTTTGTGCCATTGAACTTTTCCACGTTAATCTTCATCGAGTGGATATTCAAGCTTTGGACGGTCTTCACGTCGGAAGTACTGCCCATAACTCCTTCTTTCTCGGCCATAATCCTCAAAGCACCACCAAACCAATGCGGAAACAAACGAGAAATAGATCCAAACTGAAAAAGACGAGATTTTTACCAAAAAGATCCCACCTTTATCACCAAACGAAACTCTAGATGAACTTCCAAAGCGATCTACTCCTCCAAATAGCCCAAGCGTAGCCCGAACTCTGATACCACTTGTTGGGACGGACGGCGGCGCCGAGGAACCAAAACAAACGCCGATCAAAGAAGGCCAAACTCAACCAAATATCAATGCACAAACACAAATACCAATTTTAACGTGGTTCGGCAATTGCCTACGTCCACGGGGCAAGAAGGGGGTCGGTTTTCACTAATAAAGAAGGAGAGTACAAATTGAGATTACAAATCGCTCAAACGAACCAACTAATCTCACCAACAAATCTCTCAATCTCTCAACCAATAACCTTAACCAATAGCTCAGAAAGATCTCTCTTTTCTGTGCTCCAAAATCCCCAAATATGCTCCTACAAAACCCTCAAATCGTATTGGTATTTATACCAAAACAGAAACCCAAACAGACTGCAAATAGGAACCTGAACTTTCCAAAAAAACCGTCGTAAGTCGACTTATCAGTCTGCATAAATCGACTTGGCAGAGCGAAAAATGACAACTGGAGAAGAGTTCATAAGTCGACTTAACAGGTATGATAAGTCGACTTGCCAGAGCCCAAAATCAACAATCCACAGCAGATCGTAAGTCGACTTACGACACAACATAAGTCGACTTACCATAAGTCGACTTATGCCTGTGCATGAGTCGACTTATGACCAAAAAACTGCTTTTTCCAAGTTCTTCTCCACAATCACTTGATCTAATAACTTTTAGATTCAGAACAAATAACCACCTTCCATTGAATAATAAGTTGTGGAGTTTAAAATGTTTTCAATTCTGAAGAAGACACTATTCAGTTGACTACTGTGGTTTATTGAATTCAGGGTTGTTACTGAAAAGTAAACACAAGCGTTTTTTTGGATAGTGAAAATGATCCAAAATCCATAATCCTTGTTGATAGGAAAAGAAATTTCTAAATTTCTCTACTACTTCTGGACTGGCTCAAATATTTTGTATAAATTACTTCTCAATAAAACATGAAAATAAATTGAGGAAAAATAAAAAACAATGACAAAACAACATGATTTCTATAAGAAACCTAGCAATACACACAGTAATTCACCTGTATTCCATAATCTCTTTTAGAGCTTCAAACATATACAAAATTTCAATGCATATTTCTCAAGAAACATCACCAACACTTGAACTCTCACTCTCCACACTCAACTCAACCTGAACTTCAGAATTAGGAACCGAAGCCTCCACTGCTGGAGAGCTCAGAGGTTCAGAAATGACTGCAGCTTCTACAATGCTCGCAGGCTTGAACTTGCTTATATAGTAACTAAGAGGAGGTCCGGAGTATTCTGCACTTTGAACTTGAGGATCAGTTTTATCGACTTGAAGAAGGATCGATGAGGCTGCAGCGATCGATATGAGAGCTAAACCTGCAGCAACGGCTGCAGTGTTCTCTGCTCCCTCTGATGATGTTCCTGCCGACCCTGAGCTTATTGCACTCTCTGCAACATAAACTGCTGGCTGAGGAAACAAACATAAACAGTTGATATTAGTAAAAATAATAATAATTGGATGAAGAGATATTATGCACCTAAAGAACTTGTGCAGATAAGAAGCAACCCATACGCAAACCTTTGTGGGAACTGATGTGTGAGTTTAGTCCCACATGAGGGTGAAAAAAGAGAGAATAAAAACAGTTAATTGTGGATAGACACCCTGAACTATTGCCAAATTAAACCTAATATCCATGTAGTTCTATTGCTGCGAATAAATCCTGAGCGAATTTTTTAACCCTTTTTAGTTCAAGGGGCTATCCGCTACAATAGATTTTCACCCAGGGAGTCTATCTACAACAATAGAACTAAAACATGCTCTGAAACTTACTATTGATAAAGAAGTACATTGTTTTAAAAAAATCTTTTTTTTTGAAATTTTCATAGGGAGAGTTTTATAATGGCAAACCTCGACAGAATAAATGTTGGTTTGGCCGGCAGTATCCTTCTCGACATAACCAGTCCATCCCTTCTTCTTGGGAGGGTAAGTTCCGGCTATCTTCGTCTTCTCTCCTGCTAACCATTCCATGCTCACCTTCCCTACCTGAAAATTTCTTATACACATCACTCACTAGTCTAGAAAATATATCTACAATGTGTATAGTTTAATGTATCCCTTCTTATTGCTAGAGTATTGAGAAGGAAATAAACATAATATTTTCAAGAGGTTTTCACAAACTAACTTGAATTATTCTACTTTAAATTTACTGTTAATGATAGTCTTTCAAAAGATTAAATTGGCCTTCCTTGTATATGTTCAAGGGGATGGAAAAACATAAAGGTTGAAGTATAAAGAATACTTTGGAGAAATTTTACCCAAGGTTTGACATATGTTGGTAAAATATGATGGATCAACACAAAAATTTGCTGAGAAAACCATGAGGTATTTACCCAAATTGAAACATAGTAGTCATAATCTGAAAGATTCCTAAGGTCAGCATCAATCACTTGCTCAATAAAAATCGCACATGTCAGCATAATCAAATTTCTTAGTTCAAGAACCTTTCTCACTATGATGAATGCATATGCTGACTTAAATTTGATAAAATGAAATAAAACAAAACTATATACACAAGACCTCCTTCTCAGGGGCACATTCTTCAACGTTGCAGCTCTCTTCAGAGGTTGATGAATTAGAAGTAGAAGCATTCACTGGTAAAAACTTGGTGTTTGCTCTGAACCATCTGGGTTTCTTCAGATTAATCCTTTGACAAGGAAACGGACAGCCGCATGCAGATAGTATGGATTGTGATGAAGCACAAGCCATTGAAGAGAGCTAGAAAAGAATTCTAAGACCCTTTTCTATGTACTTTCAGTTTCGTGCTTTTTTATTATTCTTTTTCTTTATTTTTCTTATATATATATCTTTTTTTTTTAGCTTGTTTTTTGGTTGGCTTTGAGAGAGCAAAGAAAATCTCGGGTTAGATTCTGTGGCTGGTTTCGAAGGGATTTGTGTAAGCCACGTCCTTTGTTTTTGCTTGAAGGAAGGTTTGACTTCACTAGATCCATTCGATATGGGTCCAGTTTATGTTTCTCTGCTGTCAATATTGGCTATGGGGGATTGATTTTTCTTTTTCTTTTTCTTTTCTGTTTTTTTTTTTTTTTTT